TTGTCGATAATCAGGCAGAGATCATACACATGAGGACAGAGAGAGCAAACTTAACTTGAGGATCAGGCAATGCTCGATGGTCGTGAGGACAGAGAGAGCAAACTTAACTTGAGGATCAGGCAATGCTCGATGGTCGTGAGGCAGAGCTTGGGTCAGGGTCCAGAAATCCAGAACAGAAGGGATCTGTGAAGGACTTGGTAGGAGGGGTAAATCCGTGGACAGAAAGGGGTCGTAGAAACACTGAAGGCTTGGAAGGAAATGCTGGATCTCTACTGGGTCGTGGCTGTTGCTAATCTGGCAAGGAGGCAGAGGCTGAGAGGTGTTTAAGTAGGGCGGGACCCAGGTGGAACAGGTAAGCAATCAGGCGTGGCAGGTGAGCTGAATGAGTGCTTAACACAGCGTAGGACAGGACATGAATCATAACATTAGCAACTTCTTTGTAGACGTTGCACTAAATTTGGCAAAAGAATTGAACCAAACATTTCAAGGTTAGGATCCAGAACTAACGGTAGATAGAAATCCAGCATCAATTTTCTCACAAGAAATCTCAGATAAAAATATTATTGAGATTGAAGAGTAAAAAAATCCACAGATTAGAACGGTGATGATTTGACTTTAATAAAGCAATTCATAACTGACCTTGCAAAATCTCAAGCACATATTTGTAACTTGTCACTCAGAATGGGCACCTTCCCTGGCTTAGTGAAGACTGATAAAATAATACCAATATACAAAGCAGGAGATAGTTATCTGTATGCAAATTATAGGTCACTTTACATAATATCACAGTTTTCACAAATTCTAGACAAACCTTTTACAGCATGGTTTGATAGTCTTCTTCCTGCCTGTAGAGTATATTTTGCCTTGCCCTGAAACAGCATAATAAAGTCAGCAGCTGACTGTTTTGGGGAGTTTTAAAGGGTTTATTCCCAATTACCACAAGGACTATTAGGAAAAAAAGGTTGTATGTAACTTCTGTATTATGTATCATTGAACCCTGCTCCCCTTTGTAATCGCCTCCACAATGGGACTCGAACAGCTGACTTGATGCCCCCCCAGACACCCTCCAGCCCCCCAGTCCTTTTACAGTTATTCAAAGGACACAGGTAATTAGACAGCATGCTCATTTAACTTCCTCAGCTGCCGCAAGACAATTTAACAATGTGCATCCCATAACCGGATACTCTTGTGAACTAAAATTAAAATGTACACTGTACTTACTACAGGTTTCACTCACAAAGCAAGGACAGGCACATAGGAGCAGAGGCTCTCGTTAATAGTCATTGTGTGACTGACTGCTCCATAATTTTATTTAACTAAATTGCTGTGTTCATGGGTACAGAGAGGCTTTGGACAGTCTGCAGTATTATCATATGTCTTTCTTTTTAGCAACTGCTGGAGAGGACATTTAGGGCTTTTCAGTGATACCACATGTGAAGGGGTGGGACTTTTGTACGTACCTTTTTCTAATTCATAAAAATGGCGTTCATCAGTAATAACACATTTTATGGGAAGAGACAAAGTAAGTGCATAAAACCTTTTATTACCTTACAAAGACTGTGGGATTTAAAAAAAACTGGTGATTGGACAATATTTTTTTCCTGGTAGTCAGGAGGCTATAATTAGAACCACCCTTCATTCTTCCCTCAGAAAATTGGAAACCCCAAAACCTGAAAACCTCTCACAATATTTCACCTTTCAGAACCATAAACATGCAGTACTACATATACTTAATGCAATCAGACAGTGGTAGTTTGACATGCTGACCTCTAGTAAAAACATATTGACAGTGACATCGACTTCAATTTCTACACTTTTTTCTGTCTTTTGATACTGTTTCAGACTAAGTACAATTTATTGGTGACGTTTTGGTCCTAAATATGAAGGACGCCCAAGATTAGAGCAATAAAACTTCTTTTATTGAGCTAATAAAACAGATGCTGCTCCTTAATGGGAAGAAGCTAAGCTAATTTACTGTAACCTAGGGAGAAGGTTATAAACGCCTGTGTTCATAAACAGAATGATTACAACCAGGAGTTATGAAGAGGTGGACAGAAGCAGTAGAGGGGGATCTCACTCTAAACTATTTGATACTGAAGATAAACTTCAGGCTTCGGTTTTGATTTTCCCATCTGACGTTTGAGTTTAAGTATATACTTGTCCGAGCAACAATAAAGTCAGGTATGAAGCTACAACTTGAAGAATTTAGCATTTACATTATCATTCAAATCCCCTTATCAGTTAATATCCGACTATGGTGAATAACTTTATGCCAGCTGCTGTTGCTTTCTTGTTGGTCTAGTTTCCCAGTAGCAGGACCAGCAGTGGTGGGACTGTACTTAAGTACA